TGCTTTAACCTCTGGATCTATTCCTGGTGACTTTGCTTCATCCTTTCCATCTTTTTGCATTCTTCCTTCCATTTGTTAAGCATTAAAAATGGTTAAAAAGCATTTTTAAATGCTTTTTAAGCATGAATGTTTTAATGGATTTTATGTAATTTTATTGTGAAGCACTGGTCTCCTTGAGTGTTGTAAAGGGCTCTATAAATACAATTGATTGATTTTATCTCCATGTTTTTGGAGTGCTTTTTCTGATTAATTATCCTGCCCTTCAACTCTTGTATGGTCTTGTTGGCGTCTTCATACATACGTCTCTTGAACCCAAATCTCACAGTGCCGGTCATGAAACCAAAGTGCTCTGCTGCTTCAAACTGTTGCATTCAACCTGAACTAAAGCTTCCTATTTCATGCAACACGTCACACTAATCATTCATTCCATACGCGCTGGTGGTGAACTACTAGCCACATCTGCCCTGGGGTAAATTGCTGCAAGTGAGCGTGCCATAGAGGCCCCTCCTACCACCACCTGCCATTGGGGGTGGGTGAAGTGTCTTGCCTAAGAACACAATGACAAGTTTACAACCGCCCCACTGTAGCTCCTGCTGGGAATACCAGGTCTCCCATCCCACCGGTGTCCAGGCCCGATGTGTGCTAGCTGTTAGCTTTAGGATCATGACTGGTTTTGAGAAATTTTGCTTTGAGATGACAGAGAGAGAGACCAGAGAGATCTCTTGTCTCTCTACCTCCTTTCTTGTCTCTCCCCCTCCACCAGAGGGAGAGAGACCAGAGAAAGAGAGAGCAGAGAGGCCAAAGTGTGCAATTCTCCCTGTGATATTGGGATCTTTTGTATATTTTTGTGGAAGTGGAAGTGTATCAACCTTCAGTCTATATTGTCTTTCTTTAAAAAGGTCTATAAGGAGTTAGAGAATGGGATTTGGGAATGGGAGTTGGGAGTGGGGGGATTTTGTTTGGGTTATTGGTGTCTTAATAACACCCGGACACGTCTTTGTTCTGTTCAGAGGCGTGTACATTACTCAGCTGCAGTTCCAGTATTTTAGCCTCTAGCTGTTTTATCTTAACAGCTGCATCCGTCTTTGCCTCCTGGATTTGATGGTTGAATAACTCGCGGAGGTCTTGAATGTGCTTCATTGCAGATTCGTCCAGGTCACTTATCGGACTACTTGATTTTTTCACCTGTTTTTTGATGTTTACCTCTTGCTTTTTCTTGCATTCAGTCAGTACTGTCAGCTCGCAATACTTGTTCTCTAACATTTTTCTTGCACTCTCTAACTCTTCTCGTTTCTCTTCAGACGATTCCAAGGATTGTCCTAACCTCTGGATCTCTTCCAGATGGCTTTGCTGAATCCTTTCCATCTCTTTGCGTTCTTCTTCCCATTTTATCTCCAAGTTTTCTGAGAGCTTTTCCCGATTCATTATCCTGGCATTGGCCAGCTGCTCCTTCTCCTCCTGATTGCTTTCTTTCAGTTTGCTGATGACCTTGTCTTTCTGCTCGATCTTCTTCCTCAGCTCCTGAATGGTGAGATCGGAGGTCCTCCTGACCTCCTTCACAGCCTCTTCCTCGTTCATGTTTTTAATCCGTGCAGCAAGAAGTCTTTTCTCATTTTTCATATGGCTTTCCTGATCTAGAATGATTGATCTACACTCCTCTAACTCTTTCTGGGTATTGGCCAGCTGCTCTGTCTCCTGTCAGGAAATTATCACCAGGCACCGAGCGTAGTGACTGACATATCAGAGACCAAAAACCAAAACAGACCAAAAGTCCAGAAACTAGTTTCACCTCTAGAGGCCAACTCCTGTACCTACAAAATAACTCAGAGAGCACACTGTAGTTACAAGTTTTAACGTGATCACGGGGGAAGACACTTCAGCCATTAGACTGCAAGCAGAGAAATCTCTCAAACAGAGTCATCTCCCAAACAGAGTAATGTCTCCCGAAGCCTCTTTTCCGCATCACAGCTTTTATTTTACACAGAAAAGTAGGCGTGGTTACATTTTACACATTGCCATATATAGTATGATAGCAAGGTTTACTGGTGCAGTTGGTGCGTCTTAGTGACGCCCCCAACCCAACGTGCAAGCATCTTCAAACTTTCCGTTGGTCTTATCAGACAGGGAACTGTTGCAACTGACATCCTGTTCTCTCTGCACACACTTTCACATCCTGCTCTCTCTGCACAACACTTTTATATGAACATTTGGTTCAAATCACAATAGCAGTTCTGCTTATAAATGCACATATAATAAAACAAAATAAAACCTTAACATGAACCCTGGACATTTTCCCACATTTTCCCCCTGTTTAAACAAATTTCATTGAAAAGGGTTCCAAGGCCAATCTTCCCGCTAGGGTTTGGATTAGCTCCTTCATGAATTTCTTAGAATTTGTACAACATGGGTTAACGATTATTTACTCTCTATCTACGTCCAGGATCTAACAGGGTGGTCCCATGTATCTAGGTTATCAGGGTCAACTTGGTAGTGTCCTGTAACAGTGTTATAGTGCACCCACAACCCCCCTTCTACAGCGGTGTACGGTACAGATGTGGGAGTACCTGGTGGAAACCACCAAGCATCCTTCCCTTTAGATTCTACAACCCACTGGTCATGTTGGGTACAACCTGTGGGACGTCTTTCCTGGACATCGCACAGCACGCTACAGGGTATATGTAGAGAAAAATTACCCTCAGGGGGTAAACAAAACCCTGAGCCATATGTTATTCTTCCATATAGTTCAGTACATAGTTCTCCTGGGATCTTCTGTAGCTGCTCTGGACCGTTGGCGACGTTGTTAACTGGGGCTGTGAAGGTCAGCGTAGCCAGGCCTAGGACTAAGCCTATAAGAGCCTGGATCGATCTCATCGTAGCCAGGCCTAGGACTAAACCTATAAGAACCTGGATCGATCTCATCGTAGCGGTTGTGTGTGTCACAGTACCGTTGTTGTTCACAGCTTACCAACGACGTCCTGCGTCTCTCTAGGCGTTCGGATCGAGTTGGTCTCGGAGCTTGCAATGGGAGAGGTGCACCCACGAGGTCCGTCCCTCAATCTTCACTGCCGTGGGGGTGGAGATGGTGACGACGTGTGGACCCTCCCACCGTGGGCTGTTCCAGGACTTCCTCTTTATCACTTTGATGAACACACAGTCCCCTGGTTTCACAGTCCTTTCCTGTTGAGAGAATGGTTCGGCAGGCAATTTATGCACATTTTGGATTTCTCGGCTCTCAAACAGCTGTCTCATATATGTCACCAGGTCTGGACTAGTGTCCGGTCTGTCCTTCTCGGTCAATTGTAAGTCTGAAATTGTAAATGGTCTTCCATACAGGATCTCAAATGGAGACAAAGAGTTCTGGGTGGGTAAAATATGTAGATTAGTCTTTACAAGATCCACACATTGCAGCCACGTTCTTCCTGTGTCCTTGGTAGCTTTGGAGAGTTTATTCTTAATTGTTCCGTTTACTCTCTCTACCAGTCCTGCTGATTGAGGATGGTAGGCACAATGATTTTTCAATGTTATTCCCAAATGTTCACCTATACGATGGATTACTTCATTAACAAAATGAGCACCACAGTCTGATCGTATAATCTGAGGAATCCCAAAGGTCGGTATTATGGTCTTACAGATGGCCTTAGCCACTGTGAGTGAGTCATTACTTGCAGTAGGAAACATTTCTACCCACTTGGAGAATGCATCAATTATTACTAAACAATACCTTAGTCCATTATTTTGTTTAGTTCTATGTAGTCCATGTGTATTGTGTGAAACGGGTGTGGAGGCTCTGGGAACTTCCCTCTCTGTGGTCTTGCTGCTCCCTGGGAATTGTTTCGAATACATATCAAACATTGTTTACAAAAATTTTTTGAATATGTATTGAACCCTATTGTTGTATAGTATTGATTCACTAATGAAGTCATTCCCCCTGTTGACACATGGCAAGGACCATGAGTCAATTTACTAGCCCAATTAAACAGAGATTTAGGTAACCATGGTTTTTTATCGTCACCAACGTAGAGTCCATTTTCTATCACACACCCTTTTGCTTTCCATGTAGCTTTTTCTGAGGCTGCCGCACTCTCCTGATACTGTTTCAGGATTTCATGTCTGTCACAATCATCTGGTACAGTCGGTTCAGTATTTACAATGTTTACATAGGCTGCTTTTCTTAGCTTCCAGATCTGCCAATCTATTTCCTAGGGAAACAGAGTCATCATTTTTGGTATGCACTTCACATTTGCATACAGCTATAGCTTTGGGCAATTTTATTGCCTCTAGCAGGTCAATTAGCAATTTCTTGTGTGTTACCGGTTTTCCTGAGGCCGTCTGGAAACCACGATTCGCCCATTGTTTACAGAATTGATGGACAGTACCAAAAGCATACTGTGAGTCTGTGTAAATGGTCACACTTTTACCTTGGAACAATTTACACGCTTCTATCAGCGCTACTAGTTCTGCAGCCTGTGCTGATAGATTGCTATTCAGACGTCCTGATTTTAGCAGCTTAGTTTGGTCTGTGATCGCATAACCAACACGATTGTGATTCTGTGCATCTTTTCTCTCCCATACTGTTGCTTGCTGCTCCTGTCCCTCGACCTCCTGTCCCTTCCTTTTCTGCCGTCCTTTCCCCTCCTCCCCGCTATCCTGCCTCCCCCCTTTTTCTACCCCACACATCTTTTCCCTGCGGCTCCTCCTGCTCCGCCTTTTCCTGCCCCTGCCCGTCCCCGCCTCTGAGCCTCTCCCTATCCTTCCCTCCTGCGTTTCCGCTGGCTGTGTGCCACTTTCTTCTCCTCTCCTCCCCTTGTGCTACCCTTCTCTTCTCCCCCTTCCTGCTCTCCTGATTGTTTCGTGTCTCCCCCACTGCTTCCCTGTTGTTTCGTCTCTCGCCTCCACAGGTCCCTCCTCTCCCCCCTCCGATCGGCTTGCCCTCTTGGGCTTCCGCCACCCCTGCTGCTGCTCTCTTGCCTCTCCCTCCCTCTCCTCCTTTTCACCTCTGCATGCTCCTCCCCCCCTTTCTTCCCCGCCCTCCTCGGGCCCCTCCCTGCCCCCTTCTCTGCCTTGTCTGTTCTCTGCTGCTCCCAATTGCCTGTCCCATTCTCTCCTCCGCCCTGCCTGTGCTGCCCTGCCTCCTCCCTCTCCTGCCCTCTGCTGCTCCTGCTCACCCTCTCCTCACTGTTTGCTTTTCCACCCTGCCCTTCTCGCTCTCTCCTGCCCTCTGTTCTGCCTCCTTCCTCCCCCCCTCCTGCCCCCCCTGCTCCCTCCGCCTTTGTCTTCTCTGCCTCTCCCTTGCTCCGTCTCACCTTTTGCTTTCCTCTTCCTCCCCCTCACCCTGCTGGCTTTCCCCCCTCCCCACCTCTGTGTCCCCCCCTCCTTCCTCCCCTTGCCTCCTGGCGCCTCCTGCTTGCCCCTCTTCCTGCGCTCCCTCTTGCTTGCGCCCCTCTCCGTCCATTCCTCTCCCTTTCTTGCCCGCTCCCTCTCCCTCTGCCCCTTCCCTGCTCTCCCCCCTCCTGCTTTTCCCTCCTTTCCCCTCCCCCCCCCCTCTCTTCTGCCCCTGCCGCTCCCCCTCTCCCCGTCATCGATGCCCCTCCTCCCCCTCTAGACCCTTCTGCCTCCCCTGCCCTTCCCCCCCCTTCCGCCTGTCTGCCCGCTTGCTTTGCCCCCCCTCCCCCTGCTCCTCCTGCTTTCCCCCCACCCTCCGCCCTCCCCTCCCCCCTCCCTTGCTACACCTCCTGCTTGGCTCTGCTAGTGGGGCCCCCCCACTGCTCTCGCCCCTTCTCTCCACCTCCCCTCTTCCGCTCTGCGCGCTTCCCCTCCTTGCCTTCCATACTCTCTCCCTTCCTCCCCCCTCTCTCCTGCACCCCCCCTCCACTCTCCCTTTTGCCCTGCACTCCTCTGTCCTTTCACTCTTCTGCCTGCTGTACTCCCCCCTCCCTTCGCCCCGGCCGATCCCCGCCTGCCCTTGTACTGTGCTCCTGCCCTCTGCCACCCCCTTAGCACCCCCTGCTGATCCTCCCCCCGGCTCCCCTTCCTTCCCTCTCTCTACTCTGCCCCTCCTGTCCCGCCCCTCCCTGTCCTTAACCCCCCCTACCACCCTGCTGCCCTGCTGTCGGCTTCCACCTCCCTCCCCTCTCTCCCCTTCCGGCCTGCCTGTCACCAGGCTCGTCTTCGCACCCCCCACCTACAGTCCTTGCCCTGCCTCCTTCCTTACCTCCCTCCCTCTGGCGTGCTCCGGCTCCGGCCTCCCTGACCCCCCATCCTCCTGCCTTCGTTTCTCGTTCCTCGCCGTTCCTGCCTGCCGTCAGGTGGCCCTGCTTCCCTACCCTTTCCCTCCGGGCCTTCCCTGCCTGCCTGGCCCAGGCCCCTTTCTTCCCCCTGCCTGCTGCCCCTAGCCTAGCTTCCCCCCCCCTCCTACCGCGCCCGCTGGCCCGCCGCGAGTCCCTCCGGCTCGAGCCTGATTCCTGCGCCTGCCTCCTCGGTCCTCTTGCCGCACTTCCGTCTCCCGGCTTCCCTCTCGCCACCATCTGCTGCCCCCCATCTTCTTCTGCCCTTGACCTGCTCTCTTTCTCTTCCCTCCCTCCTGCCCTCTTTCCCGCTGCCTCGCGCCCCTTCCCCTCCTGCTCTCTCCCCTCCCTCTGCCCCTTCAGGCCTCCTCACTCCTCTTCCCCCCCACTCCTATCCTCCATCCGCCTCCCTCCTTTCCCTGTCACTCCCTCCCCTGCCCTGCTCGCCTCTACTACCCCTGTTTGCTTCGGCTTGTTCGTCCTCTGTCTCCCTCCTCGTCCTTCTGCCTCCTTGCCTTGTCTGTCCCTCCCCATGTTCCTTCTGCGCCCCCCTTCCCTGCTCTCTCACCTCCCCCCCTCCCCTTTTGCACACCCCCTCCCCTGCCCTCCTCTTGCTTCCTCTGCCTGGCCCTCCCATCCCCCTTCCCCGCACTCTTCCCCGCCTTGCTTCTCGCCTCCTATTCTCTGTCCCTTTGCTCTGGCCCCTGCCTTCCTCCGCTTCTCCTCCCCCCTCCTCCCCTTCCCGCACTTTCATCCCCCCTTCTGTCCCCCTCCCACTGTGCTTGCTGCTGCTCCCCCTTTCTCTCTGCTCTCCCCTGGCCCCCCCTTTGCTGAACCTCTTGCTTCCTTGGTTTTCTACTTTCCTCTCTTCCCCCGTCCTCCTGCCTGCCTCCTAACCTCCCTTCCCTCTGCTTCCTCCCTGTGTCCTCCCCCCCCTCCTGCTCACCCCCTCGTCTCTCCTCCCTTCTCTCACCCTGCCACTCTTGCTCCCTGCCTCTGCCTCCCTCCCTCCCACCTGACCTCCCTTGCCTGCCCCTACCCTCCTTTGCTCCCTTCTGCTAGTGCCCGGCCTCCTGCTTACCCTGCTTCCTCTCGTGCTTTCCTTTCCCTGCCCGCTCCTGCCCTTCCTGCCTCTAGCCCATCTTTGTCCCCCACCCCTGTCTTCCCTTCCACTTCTGCTGCTGCTTTCCTGCTCTCTGCCTCTCTGCCCCTTTCCGCCTCCCCTCCTCCCTCCTGCCTCTTGCGCCCTCGCCTGCCCTGCTCTCCTCCATCCCCTCCCCATCCTCTTCCCTGCTGCCTCGCCCTCTCTCTGTCCCTTCTACCTGCTCCCTCTGCCCTCTCCTGCTGCCTCCCTCTTTCCTCTCCTGCCCCTCCCTGTTGTCCTGCTCGCCCCCGCCTCCTGTCCCTTGGCCATCCCTCCTCCACCCCCCTGCCTCACCCTACTGTCCCCCCCCACCTCCCCCCTGCTCTCTCCTCTGCCCCACTTCCTCCTCGGCCTGCCTTGCTGCCCCCCCTGCCTCTCTGACCTGCCCCCCTTGTTTCCTTTGATCCCTTTTCCCTTGCCTCCTCTTCCCTGCCCCCCTGCCCCCTCCCCCTTCTGCCCTTCCCATCCCCTCCCCCCACTCCCTTTCCTCTCCTCTCCCTCCCTCTCCGAGCTCTCTCTCCTGCTCCGCTCCCCCTCGCCTCCCTTCTCCCCGCTGCCCTCCCCTCTCCCTTGTCCATCCATCTCTGCCCCCCCTTCTGCCCGGTTCCCTCCCCCTCCTTTACCCTGCCACTCTTTTGCCCTCCGCTCCTTGCTTTGCCTTGGTTCCCTTTTCTGTCTGCCTTGTCCTCTCTATCTCCCCCTGATCTGGCTTGCCCCCCCTCCCACTTATGCGTCCCATTCTGCCTGCACCCTCCCTGCGGTCCTGCCCTTTTCCTGACCCGGCGCGCTCCTTCTCCCCGCGCTCCCCCGTTCTCCCCCTCTGGCCTCCCCTGCGCACCTCTGCCATTACTCTCTCCTGTCCTGTCCGTCAGCGGCTCCCGCCACTTTGGCCTCGTCTCCCCTACCATGCGTCGCCCCTTCACAATTGGCTCACCCCTTGCTTCCCTCCATTGCTCCACCTGCCACTCCGTTTCCCTGCTCGCTGCCCCTTTCGTCTTGCCCCCACATCCCCCTCTTCCCACTTCGCGTGTCGCCCTGCCCGACCATTGTTGACTTTCTATTCCCGTCTCTCGCCCCTCACTTTCTGCCCATTCCCCTTCTTCTCTGGCCCTTGTCCTGCCGTCTTTCTTCTGCGCTCTTGCCCTCTCCCCTCCCCTTGCCCGGGCCCTCCTGTCTTCCCTCTCCTTTTCCCTTGTGTTGCTTCCCCTGCCTCCCTCTTCTCCCTTGCTTTCCCCTGCCCCCTTTCTGTCCCCCCCCTTGCCCTCCCTTTCTCCCCCTCCCTCGCCTCCTGCCCTGCCCTATGACGGCCTCTCCACTCCCCCTCCCCCCCTTCTGCCCTCAGCCCCTCTCCTGTCTTCCTATTTTCCCCTCTCTGGCATTCCCCCCTTTGCCCTTCTCTTCTGTGCCATCTTCCTCATGCCTCCTTCCCCCTCCTCCGCCCTTACTCTGCTCTCCTCTCTGCCCCACCCACTTACTCCCTTGTTGCGGCTCTCCCGTCTGCCCCTCCTGTCTCTCCCTCCCTGTTCCCCCTCCCTACCCTGCTGGAACTCCTTCCTACTTCCTCTCCCCTGACCCCTTCCCTCCCCTCTTTTTCTGGCTCTTGGCTCCCACTCCCTCCGTCTGCCCCTTGATCCCTGCATGTATCTCTGTGCACCCCCTGCCCCCTGCCCTGTCTGCTCTTGACCCCTTCGCCTCTCCTCCCCCTCTTCCCTGCTTTCCTTCTCTCCCTCCCTCCCTGTCTCCTAAGTTATTAAACATGTTTCCCAACGTTTTGGTGATATAAAATTTAAACTGATCTTAAAGAACAGTATACTTTTGGAAAAATAGGGCTTAGGATAGCAGTTGAATGCAGATTTGGTTTTCAGAATCGAATGTTTAAAATGTTAATATTAATTATTTCATTAGGTTTATTTTGATTTGTAATTAATCATTGGTTTTGTATGGTAATTAACACACTTGTTTGTGCTTCTTGTTTGTCTGTTTTTTTCTGAGAAAAACTTCTGTCTGTTTCATTGGCCAAAACCCCGTCACAAGCCTCAACTGAGCGTCTACTAAAAGGGACCATCAGCGTCTTCCCCGACCCACAGGGGGCAGCAAAGACAGCAGCATCGGCTGCAGCAGCTCGAAGAAGACTCCTCCAGCCTCCATTTCTAACAGCATGGCAAAGAAAAGACCGCAGACTTTTCACAAACTGAGTGCTGACCCATCCACGGAACAGAAGGTGGCGGTAATGCGAAAAAATAGGCCGCCAACCGCCGGAAAAACCTAACAAGAAGAAGAAGGACACGACACATCTGTGTGCGTCAGATCTGAGAAAGAAAAGATTGAAAGAAGAAGAAAGTGATTGAAAAAGAAGAAAGACATTATGAGAAAAAGTTATCGGAAGAAGAAAGAAAGTGATTGATTGAAAGAAGAAGAAAAAAGACATTGAGACAAGGACATTGGACACTATGAGACAAAGACAATTGAAAGACGCCATAAGAGGAGGACTGGAGGGCTAAATGAAACAGACAGAAGGTAATATATACAGACAGGCAACAAACGCACCAAGACATATTTACACATTTAGGTCATACGTTCAAAACACTACATTTAACTGCATGAATGATTACAAGACAATCGTCAAAATTATTAGACTCTTACTTTAGCATGAGACACAAGGAGATTAGAACAGCAGTATATTTGTGCATGATTTAGATGAGCTTTATTATTAAAACTATTATTGTTATTTAAAGTTATAGTCGCGGAGAAGTTTAGAATTATTGATTTTGACTGCATGATCTTGGTAATACGGATATTTAACGCAATTTTTCAACCTCTGAACCGTGGCTCGTTTCTCATTTAAAACAATCACATGCACAGTTGAAACTGGTGCTAGAAAGAGAACTGCAGCTTTTGATGGACGCTGCATTTAGTACAAAATGGTTTGTTCAGACAATTAAAGTTTGAAAAATAATAGAGTATTTCTAAATCATGGTTAAAGGTGATATTGGACCATTTTTGATGGCACACTAACGCACCACGGTCCACTGGTTGAAAACACGGATGTAGAAACATTTTATGAAATCTTTTATGACATGTTTCTCTTCCAAATAGCTAAATTAGAAACAATTAGGACAATTATGTCTTTGATACAACTGTTGGCAGTTTATCTGAGACATGATTGGTGCAAGTACGTTAGTACACGTACAATAATAGTCCTTTCTCCACATGAACGTGAAACAAAGGTGAAGTATTAAAGTTTGAAACTAATTTACATTTTTAATGAATCCGAACTGGCTTTACAAAAAAAAGGGGAAAAACACACTTTAAAAGTCGTGCACGTGCACGACTTTTAAAGTAACAAGAGCTCATTAAAAATATAGGGGACACAGTCTGTGAGAAGCCCGAGTAAAGACCACATGGTTTAAACACTAAAGTTTGAAATGGATCCTTTTAGGAAAAATCTCTTAAAGCTCTGCATGTTCTGCAGGCTCTGAAAGTTGCAACAATAAAATAGCTCATGAGACAATTGTAATTGGACATGAACAAATATAACAAAGTTAAAATTACAGGCCTCCTGTGTTGTCTATATGTTTGTGTGTGTTATATGTTTGTGTGTGTTATATGTTTGTGCGTCATGTCAAGTACACTACGTTGACCTTAACAAACTCTGGACCAATATACTAACGTGGGGTGGCGGTGTGTTGTGAGTGTGTTGTGCGTGTGTTGTGAAATGAGGAGTGAACGAGGCGTGCTGAACGGAATCATGGAATAACAAATGTTTTTCTGTAATGTTTTAATGTGATCATGGAATAATTATTTTTTGTCAACAGCATACGGTGTAAGTACTAGAGATTCAAAGATAACAAGCTTTATTGAACAGGTGTAAAAGTGAGAGTACTCTGGGATGAGTACTCTGAGAAAGTACTCTGCGGAAAGTACTCTGAGATGAAATACCTTGCTGAAGGTACTGGGAGACCCCCCCCTCTGCTGTTTGTCCTGACAGTGATTCGGTCCAACCGCAGTGAGCGGTCATTGGGCGGAGGACAACTTTGGTTTGTAACTCACATTTAGTGGAGTATAAAATTAGAAACATACATTTTGTTAAGTCTGTATTTGGCTACAGCCTCTGCCCTGATGTCACACGACCGTCTGTCAATGTCGTTATGTTTTGCCCAAATTGGAAAAAGATTGACAGGCTGCACCATGCCAGGGAAGTGGGCATTTCTTGTGTTCTAATGTTTCTTTTTCAGATAAAAGATAAACGGATCATGAGAAGAAATGAGCCTCTACTTTGGCACCAAAACCCACAATACGAATTGAGGACGATCCGGGAGGAAACAACTGGAGATAATTGGAACAGTAATCTACACACACACACACAGACGAATACATTTACACTTGGCCCACGACCAAGAGAGGGAGTATTGTAATGTTATTGTCATTAGGTGGTCATGGTCCTTAACCTTCTAAATCATTAGAAAGAAGTGTAAAACATATATTTACAAGAGCAAATAAATAATAGAAAGGGCAGCCTAAAAGCAAAATGGGAAAATTATTAAATAAATTTCGGAGTTGCCAAAATAAAATAAAATTCTTTATTTGTCCCATAGGGGGTCATTCTAAATTTAGTGTTGTGCAAATTCAAAAGGAGAAATAATAGCGCTTATAACATCAAACAGATCTACCCTTTAAGATAATGGTAGAATAGAATAGAATGAAATAGTCTGGAGCTATAATGTCATTGGATTCAAGGAGCTATAGGTTAAAATGTCGACAAGAGGTGTCAGAATAAACAATAGTAATAATAGTTAGACTAGTGAATAATCAAAATAGTTCTATTGTGGAAATAAGTATCAATAAGGTCAAATTGTTCTAATAATTAAAGTAAAAAGGAATCAAATAGAGTCAGATTTTAGATGCTTCTGTTTTCCACATCTGTAGGATCTAGTGCAGATAAGTTTGGGAGTAGTATTAAAATGCAGACATAGAACGACAGGCTTTAACAAAATTTTAAATCTAAAAATAGCTCAAATATAACATTGCTCTTGATGCAGCCTCTGAGCTGCTCCATTGGAGAACAGGTTAAATGTTATTGTTTATTACAAACAGCTGATGTATTCACACATATTGAGTTTGGGACAACTCTTTAAACAGTTATAAGCAGCGGACAGAAGCCATGAATGTGCTTTTGTTTATTAAATAATTAATTTCATAGCCATATAATCGTAGAGGACATTTTCAAAATAGTTCTCTTCCTCCCGCTCCCTTTCAGGCAACTTGATTAGATTCATGTCTTTAATATTGGAGAACTACTGTGTTGTTTTTGGAATTGTCTGAAAATACAAAACATAAAATAGTGATTTGCAGAACGAGAACCAGCCAATGAAAATTCATCTATTGCCAATGCTATTGATACAACTAAAACCGCAACTGTTAAAATGGTTTAAAAAGACAAAGTATGAGTATTTCAGCGTTTTGGTAGATGTTAAATAGTAGGAAAAAAGTAGAATTTGATCATTGTTTATAAACACACTTCAGCGTAAGAGTTAAAATGGTATCATACAATGTGATCCTTCTGATAGAGCAGCTAAACTGTTAGAATCAGAATTATTTTACAGCCATTGAAAGTGACAGAAGTCACAAATTGGAAATATGCTTTGGCTCAAGCTACAACCGAGCTTTGGAGTCACAATAGAGTAGAAATAGATAGATGCTTTCAAAAATAGAGATTATTTTTAGCCAGGGCTAATATCAAACGGTGAAAGGACCATTTCCTTCATAATATGTCCAAAAGTATTTACTTCAAAAGTAGATAAAGTTCATTACAGTTCATGCACAGTTCTATTAGATACTTGTCAAATTCACTTGTTTCAAACATAGGTGAATGTTGACAATGCAAAAGTTCATGAGTGTAGCTTAGATTAATGAGATAGATTAATGAGATAGATTAGAACCAACACAGATTCAAAAACATTTAAAAGCATTTTAATGTATTTGGGTATAGCACAAAAGTAGATAATTAGGTATTTTTGAGAATTTTAAGAGCTGTCGATTTGTCAGCACAGATTAGAGAATCAAATACCTTAGCTCCTGTAAGGATAATACCAATTTGATGAATGATGTACATTCATCCCAAACTGTCTGAGAGGAGGAAGTGACAGCACTTCCTGGCACAAAGCCACTGTTAATGAAGGCAAACCATAGTATAGAGGGATTTATTAGATAAAAACATATGTTTCGAATGTGGTTGTGTGTTGTTTGTTTTCCCTGTATTAATTCTTCACAGACATCGAGCTAGAACTAAGATGTTGGCGATGATGGAAGATCTCCCCAGTCCTGTCACCCGAGAAGGGTTATTGAAAGATTGTGACCTAATTGTTTAATATAGGTCAAGAGAGGGAAATGTTGTATTAAATAAAGACTACAAAGCAGATGTGAATTTGGCTGACCCTGATTTGAACTCTGTCTCTTTCCTAAGCAAAAGTGCAGAATATGAGTTAATGATAGTTAATCTGGGGGGGGGGGCCAAGATCTGCATTCCTAGATTCTGCTAATCCTTTCCGTTGTTTGGAGAAGGAGATGGACCCAGAATCTGGAGGGACAGCGTTGATAGTCTCCTGCCTTATCTCAAGGAAGTCATATTTCTATAGAATTAGGGAGGGGTAGTGTGTGTGAATGATTTCTGTTTAGGTCTGGCGAGACGGAGGAGAAGACCTGATGGACCGGTGACCCGAGAACTGCCTGATACGACACGCCCCCTTCTTCCTGCACATCTTCTGATATGCTTTGGCTTGGCCT